ATAAATCGTTTCAAGAATCAAATCCTAACGTACCTTTTCCAAACAAGCAAACGCAAATCATGCAAAAGAGTCATTTTGACTCCTTCAAAGGAGTCGTTTTCTTGACCCCAGGACGACTCCTTGAAGAGAGTCATTTTGACTCATTTTGGGTTGACACCTGTAAAGAGTCATTTTAACCCTTTAACTGGAGTCATTTTGACTACCCATGGAGTCGTTTCAAAATGACTCTTGCAACAGTTAAAATGCAAATTAACTCCTCAAAAGTGTCGTTTTAAAAGAGTCATTTTGATTTTTGACTCTACTTTGGCATCAATTTTACTCTTATTTGGAGTCATTTCGACTCCTTTTTGTCATCAATTTTACTCTTATTTGGGGTCATTACGACTATTCTGTGGCATCAATATTACTCTTATTTGGAGTCATTCGACTCTTCTTTAGCATCAATTTTACTCTTATTTGGGGTCATTACGGCTATTCTGTGGCATCAATATTACTCTTAATTGGAGTCATTCGACTCTTCTTTAGCATCGATTTTACTCTCATTTGGAGTCATTTTGACTCCTTTTTGATATCGATTTTTCTCTTATTTGGGGTCATTTCAACTCTTCGTTGGCATCAATGTACTCTTATTTGGGGTCATTTGAACTCTTCTTTAGCATCGTTTTTGCTCTTATTTGGAGTCATTTCCACTCCTTTTTGACATCAATTTTACTCTTATTTGAGGTCATTACGACTATTCTGTGGCATCAATTTTACTATAGTACTGTACACCAATATTAGTTTCATGAAGCTTGCATATAATACAAAAGCAGAGTTTGAGTAAACGATGTTTAATAATGTATATGCAGTGAGTATTACAGCATACCATACATGCATCCCGCAAAAATGTTTCTTTGAAGAGAAATTATGTATAATAAATATCTATATATAAGCATGCAGGCTTTAAAATATCGGCCAACAGGCCGTCTATCAAATGTCCGGTGTCTTTAAAAAATGGGTTGGATATACATTTTTAAAATTAAAATATGGTAAATGGCCATATGTTAGCAGCAATTAATTAAGTAATGGTTTAAAATCGAAGTCTAAACGTCGACGGCTAAACGTTTTATACTTCATAGACATAGTGTGTATTTTTTATATCAAAATTCAAATTACACTTTCAAAAACACTTTTTGAAGTTATAGCAAAGGTGTAATAGCCTTTCACAGGTGTATCCGTTTGCATAAAAAGCTGAAAATTAAACAAATAAACGGCATACAAAGCTGAAAATTATACAAATACAGCTCATCCTTACTGCGAAGCAAATACGAAAGAAACAAAGTAAACACGCACCCTTTGAAAACACTTATAAGCTTGCAGATTATGAATTATTTCTCTTACACGGCTTTCGGTCTTGATTGTATCCCTGTTCATCTTTGCTATCTGTCATGCTTCATATATCTTGTTTCTTCCCGTTTTACTTTGCACAAAGTTTATGAAACGCTTTTACAAAAAGGTTTACGAAATGACAGTTAAATTGCTGACGTTCTCGTTGAAATTCAAACTTTCTGTCTTAGCCAATCAGAACGTTTGTTGATTATTTGTCATTTTTTATATCAGCATATACTACTTTTCAGCATGAGTCAGAACTATTAAAATGGATTTATGTATAATATATTTTCATGTGTGCACATCCTGTTCCAGCTGACATTTTCAAGAAATATAAAACCTATATACATGCAGTGTAATATATCTTTTATATTTATTTTATTTTATAAATTGCCATGTTAAAAAGTTAAAATGAACTACACATAAACTACAAATGAACTACACACATGCAATGGCTGGAATCACCACACAGAGATATGTCTCCAATAACGGGGTTCCACAACTAACTTACAAATAGACAGACACAAACATACACATATAAGCAACTTAACAAATTTATAAGACTTTCTCGATACATGAAGAAACGATAACAACTAATATCAAGTGTATTTGTGTCATAATAATTGAGTATTTTTTTAATGTGCTGACTGGTTATTTGCTTCAAATACAAAGGATTTGTAATACATGTAACATGCCTAATGACTTCAATTTAATATTTTAAACATGCAAATTATTTGTTTTGTATATAAATGGCTGTTATAAAACCCAGAATGACTCTAAGAAAGAGTTCCACCACTCCAACAAAGAGTAATATGGCTCCAAGAACGAGTCACATGACTCCATGTGAACTCTACTTAAGAGTCTATTGACTCTTGCGAGAGTCTTGCGACCCTTCAAAAGAACTAAACGAGTCCTCCGAATTGTCATTTTAACCCAATGTCGGAGTTAAAACGACTATTAGAGTCGAAACGACACATTAGAGGAGCAAAAATGACATTTTGAATAAAGGTGTTGAAATGACTCGCCCTGGTCAAAACGACTCTTTTGAATTTACAGTGCAGGCTGAAGAAACAAACGAAGATTTTTGAGAAGTCCATTTGACGCTCACCACTTGTAAACAATGATATTCGGAGAGCGGATGTTTGGCAAATATGGCATTATAATTATCATTTACATGTGAAAAGTACACCGCACATAGAGAAATGTTTTTTACATAATAACTATAATGAAACTCGCAGTTTGATTGGTTAGTGGGCGTGCAGGATGAGACATGGAAGAACGGTTTGCCCTAAATATAGAAACTTTGTTTAAAATTCTCTTTCGAACTTTGCTTGTTTAGAATTTCAAACTTCCGCTAACTAATTAATTATTCAATTACACGCCTAAAAAGGCTCAGGTTGATGCATGTTGATATGAACAGGATGGAGCAATGTTGTGCAGCCCACATGGTTCAGAGTTGTTATCAATATTGAACAATATTGTTGAAACTGAATCAAGTGTAACAATATTGTTCAATATTGATAACAACCCTGAACAATGTGGGCAGCACAACATTGCTCCATCCTGTTTATATCAACTTGCATCAACCTGAGCGTTTTTACGCGTGTAAATTTCAAACTTCCGCTGACTAATTAATTACGTACGACTCGTGTTTTTTCACGCTTTCCGAAAGTCTCGCAGTATCCCGCGTGCAGTATCCCGCGTGCAGTATCACGATCACGCTATCCGGCACGGAAAACCATTTAGTATTCCTTTAGTGCAATATACTGTATGTAATACAGTTAGAAAGGCGCCCTTTTATAAGATATCTTAATTTGCCATCTTTTTAGGACATAATTTATTATATAATTATACAGCTTGGCATGTTTTTTTAGCTGATATGTCATGACTTCTTGTGTTTGGCAGCGCTGTTTTTGAGAATTGGACTTCACCCATGGTTCTCCACGATAGTCATGTATTGTTTTATTTAGTTCAATTATAAAATGCATGTGCGTATGGTAGTCTTTGAAGTTGGGAGGGTGGCCTATCGGAGCCTGGGTGCCAATCGAACGTTAATTGAGGGGGGCCATATTCATATATTCTGGCTAATTTCTTTTGAAATTGAAATTGTTTTCAAAGGCAATTAGCCAGGTATAGCAGAATATATGAATATGGTCTCCCTCTATTAACGGTCGATTTGCGCCCATGTTTTGAGCAAATATCAGTATGAGAGAACGATGGGTCACTGCCTATTTTAGTATAAACGTAGCTACATTGAACAAAACTTATATTGTATGAAACAAAGTTTAATAGTTCCTCGCTTTGTAGCAGTACCTATTCGGTCTGTTACGCAATTCTTTCTGAAAGATACATACATTTTCTTTTTTATTTTTTATGTATGCAGTGTGAGAAAATTAGGTGCAAACCACAGGAACGATGGGTGGGTGGGTTATGAAATTTTTAAAAATTTGCTTATCGTAGGTTATCCTTCTGAGTTTAGGGACACAATGCGTCTGATGACTCTGATCTGTAAGATCAGATCTGTGAGAACTGAACAATATTAATAGACAAAATGTTACGCAAGGCTTTATTGTGTTTAGATAAATGCATATAAAAATACCTGTAAAAATAGGAATATCAATAGCATGACAGGGATTAGTGATTAAGTTTTGCCACAAGATGCCTGAGTAAATATAATTTTCGGTCATTCGCAATCATTAATCACATTCCCTTTCATGTATGACATATCGTGTTATCAAATAAGTAATTAGGTGAAAACATTTATCACCATGATAGAAGTAAATGTCTAGATCAACAGTTCTAAGTCGTTGCTAAGCTCAACTGCTACATATTAAAAAAAATGAGCATGCTGTAGGAAACATAAGCTCTTATGTCAATCAATTGCGTTCTATATGTTGCACGGACGAGCATTTTAAATATTACGTCATCAAAAGTTTAATTCGATAAAAATAAGAGAAGAAAAATATTTTAAGTTGAAGGATATTGTTCACGGAAGTATTATTTGAAAATTTTACTAGTTGTTGATGATAAATATTTTAAGTTGTAAAATTTTAACTATTGATCGATTGAGCTAAAGACCAACTCGACTAGTGCGTCAACGCCTTATACAAACAAGATATGAGAGCTGGAACGAGCTTCTAACACCGACCCACATTTCTATAACTTACAACGCTGATTGGTTGGATAAGGATCAGTCCACTCTGGTTTGATGACGTCTGCAAGTTTCCCTCATCCGTTACTATAAAAAGGCGCGCACAACACCCGAACATTCAGTTGACTAGCGGAGTAAAAAGCATATGAAACGTTAGAGAAGCTTAACTTTCACAGAACCAACGACCCAAGACAAGTACAGCAGCGACGAATATTTGAAGAGAAGAGAAGAACGAAGCCAGAAACTAACATTAATGTACATTAGTTAACCCATTGTAAAGATCTCCTACCTCGCGTAGAAAATAAAAACTTATAACAAAAAGATAAAAAAGGCGAGACTTGCCGTATGTCTTTCAACTTATTCGGCCGTACAAAATCAAATAGATTATGCACATATCCGGTAATATCCGGTGATATCCGGTAATATCCGGTAATTTGTCGAAAAGTTGGTTTCATTAATTTACCGTAATTATTTTTATGCTTGATTGACATGAATAAACTCGCTCATTTGTTCTTCAGACGCCTTTACATTCATTCTTCGCTATTCAGATGAAACCTGGAGAAGTCTATCCAAGTTAAGAATCGTTGGGGAAAAATGAAGCTGGACTTTGGGACCACTGCAATTGATTTAGTAGGCCAAAGAATGCAGCTAAAAATGATACACAAACTGTGGATACCATTTATCACAACCCAATTCTTAATGTCATTACATTTGCGTAAATGCAATTTAAATGGACGTCGCGATTCCAGTCGGTTTCAACAAACTCTACACGCTCGAGTTCCGAACCATATTTGGAAATCGACAAGTGTATGGGCGGAAAAATGGCAATTGCTTTAAGAAGTTCAAAACAAATTTCTGAACTTCGATTTGAACTGTTTTCAAGTACAACACTTTTACTTCTGGCTATAATTTTTTAGCAAAACTGCAACTGTTACAACAAACACAATCTCGTAAAGCTGATATTATAATTTATTTTCCGTTCAACAAGAATATCAAGGTTCACTATTATTTTCTGCGACTCGCAAGCCGCATGGGATAGTAACAATTTTCAATTTCTGTATAAGTGTTTATACATCAGAAATTGCTACAGAGTTGTTCTTATTTTGTATGTATTTTTCGTTTCGTTGAATACAATTCGCCAGATCTCTTTTCACTGTTGAAGCTGATGGCGAAATACTTGATGTTGTGAAAGATCCTACATCATCAAAGAAAATCAATATCACTTTGAATATAAAATTGAAAAAAATTCTCATACACAAGCTTTTTAAAACATGATGTTTCTTAAATATCTCACTATTACATAGCGTATCAAAAAGGCCTATAGTTGATAATGTCGCATTATAGTCCCGTCGAATGCAATTCAAGCAATAGATAATGACATGATAATGAGGCTAAATGAGGTTTATCATCTGATTATCTATTGTTTGAATTAGCCTTTCTCACGATGACGTTTTGTGGCACTTTCAATTTTCTGAAATGCGTTTAAGAATTATAATTTAACATGAAAAGCATTTTTTTAAAATCAACAGACAATTTGAATGATAAATTCAGTCTAAAATTAAAGACAGTCGTCCTTACGAGCTCTTGCGCTCTGGATTTGAAAAAGGTACCCTAAAATGGTGGCATATTCGTCATCGTGAGAAAAGCTAATTGCATTAGACGCGACCAAAATGCGACGTATGAAGTGGGCCTTAGACATTTTGTTTTGAACGTGCTTTTAACCCCAACATTATTATTTTTTTATTATCATGAAAAATCGCACATGAACTGTATGAAATAGCTGATCTGTATGACTAGCTTACCAACACTGCCAACAGCTACCCTCCGAATGCTTATATTTTTTATTGTTGTAGTAACAATAATTCTCGTAACTACAACCTCTATTATCTTCTTATAAACCTTTTACCTGCTGTACTTTGCAAAATGCTTTGAGGTGATCTTCTGGAATACACACGGCCCAGACTTTGTTCCTGATTTTGTTCTTTGGCTGATTCGTTATGATCGTCGAAGGGTTCAACCATGATCTCGTCCAGTTTCTTAAAGAAAAACCATCGTGGAATTAAAAATGTTTGTACATTTTTTAGTAGGTAGCATGCGACTGCGTTATTCAATGAGTTGATCATCGAAGGCGAATACCGAAGGAGAAGGAAGAGCTTCCTTCTGGAGGTGCGCTGATGTGATTAACCACAATTAAATTCAAAAGAAATAAATTACAACAAGAAAATTATTGGGAATTATTGGGATGGACCAGTGTAAAAAAAAAGAGTTATTTGTTAAATATGCCTAGGTTATTCTGTAACAAACCGCTGCAATGACAGATATTCTTTCTTTTGTTCTTCTAACACGCTTCACTATTTCTTGTTGGATTTTCTTTGGCTGAAATAAAGAAAAACTCGTAATTAGAATGAGATTCTTTTGATAAACTCCTTAGATAAAATCGCGCTATCCAGAGTTCAGCATTTTAATGTTAATCATGCCACGTGCAACAAAAGAACTGTAATTAAGTATTTATACCACGATGCATTGCATCTTCGATGAGTATATCGTGCAAGATATGTTGTGCTCTGAATAATAGAATCGGCAGCCGAGTTTCGACTGTCGATCGAGCCGTTTGTGTCACACACTCATCGCAAAAACTAACTCGCAAGCTCGCTGTGTGTAATTTCGTCTAATCACAATACTTGACAGTTTATTTTAATTAAATGCAAACAGCGCAGCGAGTTCGCCAGATGCCTTTAGTCCTCCTGTATTTTATTTGTTATCTGTTTTAAGAAGATTCTGATAGTCAGCAAACATTTGGTCACGCCTCATATAAAGGCGCGCGACATCAGACTAATATGCAATGACTATTTTTTTTACTCAACCAGGAAGGTTCTTTTCTATCTTTATCCCTTGTATGCATTTCTTCTTGGCATGTCGCATGTGGGTTTGCAGGACGTAAGAGGGGCTAATAGCGCAATAAGCCAAGATTGTGGATAAAC